AAATGGCTCTGAAACAACAGTCATTTCTAGGTAATGGCCCAGTAAACACATTCCAACAGCGATGGATACACATGCAACAACAGAAGTACTGCTGCAAACAGTGTTTTAAACTTGGTCAGTGCAAAGGGTTATAAGGAAGACAGCTGGGACAACCGAGTAAGTTCTGCATAGGAGGCTGTGAAGGAACTGCCGTTCAGAGAGGACTTGAGCATGGAAGCAGAGGAATAGCCATTGTCAGAAGCCCTTACCAGGAAATGTCTAATGAAGATACTACAGGCTGGAAAAGACTTAGCATATGCTGTAGTGATTTGTAAAGTGTGGATACATATTATAGTGTTGTAGTTATTTGTAGTTACGTCTCGAGAGTGGTCAATAAATCCTATTATCCAGAACCCCATCTATAGTCATTCACACACATGACAATATGACACTCAATATTCCCTGAAATGTTGTAAGGAGAAAAGTTAGAATGCAGTATTAGAAGCTGAAAAAAATGCTGTTAAAAATGTTATGCCTCATCATCTTTATTTTTGCTCACCACATGGCATTAAGAATTCAGCACCTGCATCAATACTGAACTTGGACACAAAGAGACTGTGATGCATATCCGTCTTCAAAGACATCACAAGAATTGTAGTAATTTCACCATGGAAGAAGAAAAAAAATCCAGGTTCCCTTCACACGGAAAAATGAATGACAAATTGTTTGTGAGAAACAAGATATCTGTGCATGCATGGTTGAACTGCTCACTGACTGAAGACAGGCAAACTTTCTAATACCACAAGCAAAGTTACTGTATTTGCATTCGATTATTTTTCATTTATAAGTGTAAAAAATTGGTTTTGTAATGCTACAAAAATCAGACCTGGAATTATAATAATATTTATTATCCAGCAGTGGGCAATTCTAAATACCATGGAACTACAAAGTTGGAAGCTGTATTTTAACTTAGTGTAACTGTATTCGCACTAAAAAAAATCAACACTCACTTGGCTGGACCGCACACATACACTGTTATAAAAGTGTAAATCAAAGCCAGTACATGTTAATAGAGCACATTTTAATGCATTATTATCAATTTACTTTTTTTAAAAGATCTTGGGATCAAGTAGGCTGGCATAGCAGTAATGCTCTTGAAGTGTATGCTGAAGACATTTTGTTCAGATATTGGCTGGGACACAAGCAAGACCTTCATGACTTTCCCCAGTCCTTCTAGGCAAATGCTGGAAGAGTAATCATGATTAGGCCATGACCATATCCTTCTAAATCTTTTATCATTCATCTATCATCCTAGAATCTGACACTATATAGTCATGACTCAATCCAGCTTAGCAAACACTTGTAGTCTAGACACACAATGCAACAGGAAGAGCCACCCTGCGCCATGAAGTACGCAAACAAGTAATCATCCAGAACAGTTACACATTATATAAAAAAGTACCAACATAAGACATTAATACATGTTACAGGTACATGAGTATATAGATGGGACTATGTATTGAATATTAGAATCAAAAAACGGAAGCATAGTAGTTTCCACCAACAATTTTAAACACCTGATGATGATCACTGTCAGTCAAAACATGTAGTGCAATGTACAGAAACTTCTAAATATGGTATAAAAAGTCGCATTTTGTGATATAAGAAATATTTAGAGGGGGGCATTGCACATAAGACGGTGAATCAGTGACATCTGTTAAATAGTAAATGATGTGCAACAGGAGAAGTTGGCACTAAATTTGCCAACAAGTGGCGGTCGCTAATAGTCCACCCGCAGACTCAGGCCACGGAGTTTGTCTGTGCAACAAGGTTCTGCAATATAATATGTCATCAAGCTATTGAAATCATGAACTTACCCACAAGATATATTGGGATGCACAGGGTTTCAAATGAATATGAATTTCAGAGGGCACCCAGCAGCATAGTTGGTCGAGGCACTACGCTACAAGCAGGGAGATCAGGGGTTCAATCCCTGATGAGGTCATTGGACTTTTCAATCGACCTAATCCTTTCAGCCGCACTATAGCCCTGGGGTCGACTCAGACTAACAGAAATGAGTACCAGGAATCCTCCAGAGGGTAAAGCGTAGGCAAAACATAAAGCTGACCTCACCACCATCTGTGATCCAATTGTCTAGAAAGTGTGGGAACCTTGATGTCTCACAATCTATGGTCCTCCATGGACTGCTACAAGGATAGCTTTATAAGGATAAATTTACCGCTATATCTTTTGGTTAGCTGGATCAGTTTAAAATTTTAATGTCTGAAGAAACATGCCTCTTTAAGCATCTGATTATGCATATTAAACATGTAAACTTTCGATGCATAGATCCTCCTGAAAATTAATTGTGGTGCACTTCACAAAAAATTATTGAGAGAACTTCATATTAGTCATGTTGGATACTTCCACCTACAACTTTATGTGATACCCACTTTTGAACAATAAAGGAAATTGTCATGTCTGCTCTTCAGCAGCATTTGAAGTCAGTACATGAAGTAAATGGTTTGCAAGTAGGCAACAGTTGTACATCAGGTACATGTCTGTCGATCAAAACAATTTTGTACATTTAATATATAACTGATAGACTCAAATTATCGATAAAAGTTTATTAATGTTATTTTGCTACATGTTTCAGTCATTTGCGGCCATTATCAAGGATTTATAAACAACAAAATGTGCCCACGTTCATTATTAGGCTCTGCTTTGCAATGGCTCCATTGCTAATAGTCTTGTCATGTAAAAGAGTTTATATAGAATTATGTATGTATTGAAATATTTGTCTCACATTAGTAGAGCTTATTAAAATTGTTATTTTACCAAAAAGTATCATATTATGTATAGGGGTTTTTAAGTTGGAATGAAGTAGGGTGAATGGCGTGTATAAAGTATTTCCAAACTTTCTGTCTTTTATGGATGTGGGTACTATATGAGCATACACTGTTGGTGCTAACTGTCGAACATTAATTTTTTAGGTGCAGTGGGAATTTTTTATCCTTTAAGAGTATATTTTGATATTATGTGAGTACAATCTTACTGCCATCTTTGAGCCAATTGTCTAGATAATGTGGACCCTCAATGTCTCATAACCTTCTGGGCCTTCACGGCCTGTTCCGTATTCCGTATTCCGTATTGAGGGGGTGGGTTTCCCCATGCACTTAGACCGGTTAGTGGTCCATTGTGCATCCCCCTTTAATTTCTACTGTCTCCATACCCTACCGGTACTGGTGCTTACTATCAGCCCCTTTCTCCCAGCAAGGTTCCAACCTCCTCTGGCAGTGGTATCTAATAGTTAGTCCCTTTCTGCCAGAGAGGTCCCCCCTCCTCTGGCAGTGGTACCTAATACTTCCCCCATCTACCGGAGGAATTGGAAACTACTTGGGCAGGAAAATGTTGCCTAATTTTGCTCAGAGGTCTCCTAGAGACATGAGGTTCTTTTACGTGCCGTAAATCTACGACACAGGACCCACGGCTTAAAGTCCCTCCCGGAGGACTTGTTCCCTGAATTTTTCTGCCCTTAAAAATTCCACCACCTCCGCCGGGTTTTTGAACCCACGTACTACGAGTCATGAGGGGGGAACGTTACCTCTAGACTACGGAGGCCACTTTCACGGCCTGTTACAGGGATAGCTTTACTTTTTTTACATGTTGTTGGCAATGATACTGCTACCCTCTTGTTTTGGTGGTTTGTGCTTTCTTGACTTTCTGTTGCAGGCTCCATAGTCATGTACTTATTTGTTGTTCTATATTAGTAAGCTACTGGTATCGGAGTTTTTTGTTGAAATGTAATTCTTTTGCTTCTTCTATTGATGTGGTGTTGCATCTGATTGTATTATTGAGAACTGTTGTGACTGATGGACATATTTACATAGTAGTGACATACAGAACAAGATGTAAAGCATACAAATGAAAAAAGTTATATCGTAACCTCAACTGGGAAGACAAACTGACTTATGCTGTGAAGGCGATGATAATAAGCATCCTCAAAGACACTCTGTAAATTAAGTTGGCACTGTCAACTTCATCATGTATTAGGCTACTTAATGCATTATGTGAACTGGTACAGTGACTGAGATACGCCCTTTCTGATAGATTCAATTGAGAACAATCCTCCTCGCCTTCTCACCTTTGGATAGGGACAGACTCAGTTTCTGAAATAGTCTGTTCCATTCAGAAGACTAAATGATGGACAAAGTCCAGAAATGCTGTCATTCTACAGGTTAATACAATACATCACTGTCAGCACACTTTAGGACTCAATAATTACAAACCAATTTGAATTTTGAGCATAAACGTATTTGACTTCTTAAGATTTATTGTCATATTTGAAATAGTGTGATGTAAGTGTTTAAACGTCTTTCGTCACAGTAATAAGCTAATTTACACATTCTCTGTTACCAGATGGTTAAGAATAAGTTATCTCAAATCGTATCCAGGGGTATCCATAGACAGGGCTTCATTCTTAGAAAGGGTGAAAATGTATGTTTTGTCCATCTTCCATAGCAGTACAAAGGACATATGTGTACTAGTTCATATTGATCTGTACTTTGCAGAAAGTTTCATCTTTCTTACTTCTACTGGAAAATAGCTCCTCATGACATCCATTATTACTTTTTTACATTATAAAGAAATACTAGCAAGCCATCTACTAAAACTGACTGTGAGTGCTTCCTATACAGTTCAGATTGCTGCAGCACGTGGTGTTGTTAAAGCCGATGGATTAATGGAATTGTGTTTAAAGTGGACAATAAAACTAGTCTGAATATGGCTCAGAGATTGTCTGTGTACACTGTAAAATCCATTTAAGGTTTCTTTGCAGAACAGTAACATTAAACTGAGGAAAATGTTTTGGAAGAAGTTAATAGAAAGACCATTGAAGCTGAATGTTAAACGAGGGAACACATTAAATCAAAGCACATCAAATGAAAGTTTCATGTTATAGTATTACACGTTGAAAGAGTCAAATTCCACTATGGGAGGAATAAAACACAAATAACAGAGAATGATTTAATGTATAAAATTTTATTTGTAAAAAAGGGGGAAAGGGGTTTATCTTTTGTGTGAACTTCCTAAGCCAACAGTCAGCAGCTGAATGTATGATTTTAAACACAAAATTGAAGGTAATTTATTAACTGTAAGGAAGATAGTAATGATTCAATTTTGTGCAAAATCATTGGCTAAGGGTCACATTATTACATATGTATGTATATTTATATATAAATACTAAAATTACTAGTACTTAGCGTGATGAACTTGGACATAATGCAAAAATGTACATATGTTCTGATCCTAAATGTTCAAGAGGCAGAAACTTACTTTACTACAAAAAATATATATATAAAAAAGCAGAACCAATTCCTGCATATTTCTACCTGTCAAACAACTCAGGAATTAGTGGTCACAAAACTGAGACAAGAACACCATACTGTCTGACTTACAGGTCAATGTTTTTCATATTTAGAATATAAATAAAAAAGTTTATGTGACTGAAGCACATAACATGAAAATATACAGATACATAATTTCTTGATTTTCTATTATGTGTGATCTCATTCAGCATTCGTGACAAAGGGATACATAATTCTTCCTTCAACCCATGACCAAAGTCAGTGTACAATTAGCGATGTGCAATGCAACATCATGTGTTACTTGACTGTTAACAATCTACAATGTTGTCTTAATAGAAAAAAATATTCCAGGCAAAACAAAATGTCAGACATATATAATCCTGACACATATTAAATTTATTGGGTAGAAAGTCAGTCTATTGATCACACATTTTGTTACAATTGCACGCTTGGTTCATATTGTGCAGTTGATTATTCATAGATCAATCCAAATTAAGTTATCAGTCAGTCACCCTCTTGCATTTGATGCATAAACTATCTTAACATCTGCAAAATGATAGACTGGAAGACAGAAGGATTGAGGAATCCGAGAAAAGGCACAGTCAGTGTGAAAATCTTTGCACATTCTCTCTTCCTCTTTTTGTCCTGTCATTTTGGCACCCATTGTAATTATTTGAAAATAATGTCTACTGGCATGCGGCGTGGCCATTCTGCAAATTATCCACATGCTGCTAGCAATAAGCCATGTAAGGCTGGAGTTGGGTTATCACTCTCACCATCACATGCGATATGCAACCTTCGTAGTTGCTGCAGACATAAAGGTTCTCTCCTACTCGCAGGGAGAGGATTGAGCACACGAGTTTAGTTCACAAAAAATCAACTTCATCTTCGTCTTACAGATGCTGCCATTATCATTTTCCTCAACATAGGTTCCGGACTGCATACTTTTGGATCACATTTCATTTGACCATCTCCTCCACATCTGTAACAGCAAAGAAATTATTAACAAATCGTAATTCCTTTAAAATGAATTTAATATTACACATTAAAGCACCCCCATGATTTCTCATTCAAGAATTACTAGAATTTAAACTCAGGTTTACTGTGTTTTGTGGTTAAATCAATCCTTTCAGAACATGGTAAGACATTAGTGTAAATTTAGCATATTTATTTGCTTAAGATATTACAAAAGGGCACGTGGTAGCATAGTTTGTTGAGGCACTATGCTACAAGCTGGAAGGTTGTGGGTTCAAGTTCTGATGAGGTCATTGGATTTTTTCAATTGATCTCTGGAGTGGACTCAGCCAATGAGTACCAGGAATATTCTTGAAATATTCTTGGGGGTAAAGAGAGGCTGGAGCGTAAGGGTGACAACCTTGCCACCATCTATGAGCCGATTGTCTGGGAAATGTGGGAACCTCAACATCTCATAACCCTATGGGCATCCGCGGCCTGTTACAGAGATACCTTTATTTTTTACTTTTAAAGATATTATGAAAACTGAACAAGTATACTCAGATATTAGTTTATCAAGTCTTCACATTATAAATATTTCAAATTTTTAAGCTGGGTGCAATTCATGTAGCAATAAAAATGATATAGATTATCCTACAATATTTAAAAATTTTAGGTGTAGTCAAAATACAGACAATTTACTGGACACAATCTTTAGAAGAAACAATGTTTTGGTAATGATATGAAACTTGTCCAGCACATTGGGTCATTTCTTTTGCATCAGCCAAACATTCACTGGAAGGTCTGAGGGATGCTAGGACTTACAGACATAAGGTTTGATAGCTTAAATTCCCACATCAAAAGGGGATGGCTCCACCATACCAATGACCTAATACATTTCTTACCACCTCTAGCATTAGAATTATCAGTGCTTCATGGTGGTGCAGATTCTGCCTTGTAACATCTTGTAACCAAGCAAACTGACTCAAGGAATAATGCTTCACTTGTTTTCATAGTTGTGTCTGTTTCAAATCTCATCTGGGACACCAACTATACTGAATGAAATCTTTTGTAGCTTTTTTCTGTCCCACAAGGCAAATACTGTGATAGTAGCTTAAAAAAGGTTTCAGCTCTTTTCTTTCAAATAGTGTGTTACTGAAGGCATTATTAGATAAATCATAAATAAATAAATATTAAAATACATGTAGTGTTTTAGGAGGATAGTTAAAATTTTGAAGAACATACTACACCCTGAAAATTTAACAAAATCACCCAGAAGATTATGCAATATCATAACCCAGAAAACAACAATTAAGATGAAAGAGAGGCCTATACTTATACAACCTGAAATATCTCAATGATGTACGTCAGTGTTATCATTACATGCCTTGTTTCCCATTCCTAATAACAGAAATGTTAGCAAATATTACAAGATAAAGTAGCATTTCTAACTTACCTGCAGTTCAGACATGGTCCTGATGCCGACCGAACTATTTCACCCACTCTATATGCTTGTCCTTGTATCTGACATCCTTTCCGTGATGCGGCTCCTTTGTACGCATGTGAAAAGAAATGTGGAGGCAGTGTTGTAGTGGTAGTAGTGGTGGTAGTTGTCACATTCACAGAGGTTGCCATGGATACTGGACATTCGTAACGAGGGCAACAGAATCCTTGAATTGGTTCTTCATGACATCCTGGAATAGGTGGTGGGCAACTCTGCTGAAGACAAATAATATCACTACGGAAACAGAAGCAGAAATCACAAGGGTCATCTCTGGGAATCTGCTGTGCAGACACATAAACCTTTCCGCCATAGCGGCATGTACCAGGTCCAAAAGCAGCTTGCTCATCATTCTCATCATCATCATCATCATCATCATCTAAACCATCGGATGATGGTGGGAGGTAAGCACCACCTGAAGAAGGAATATTTGGTTCTCCACTAGGAATATGTTCATATGGCTCTTCAGTTGTTGGTTTTTCTGATGGAATTATCTGGGCTGTTGTAAAGTGAAATCCTCCAGTTCCAACATGTGGATAACTTTCTGTAGTAACAGATGCTCCAATTATATTTGTGGTTATGTGATCAGTAAAAACTGTCAATGGTGACTTTGTGGTTCCAGAAGCACTGTAATTTCCTTTGCCAGGAATACTACCATGCTCTATAGAAGAACCTGCATGATCTTCAGATGTTACAAATCCAGGTATGGGTTTCACTGTTGGAATAATATCATGTTCTATGACAGCTGGAATATGTGTATGTGTTAAAGTTAAATCACTTTCGGGTTCTTCAGGTACTTGTTCAGGTTTCTGGATAGGTAATTCAGTGTGATCAGTACCAGACTCCAAGGGAGGAATATGTTCTGGCTTCTGTTCATCTTTTGTTTGATCAGTGTCAAAATGTAAAGAAATATTCTCTTGTTTCTGGTCAGATGCTTCTGTTGGAGCAATTTCTGATCCTGTAGGAATGTGTTCTGGTACATGATCGGGTATTTCTGTCTGCCCAGCCTCTGATTCTGTAGGAATGTGTTCTGGTACATGTTCAGGTGCTGCTGATTCTGTAGGAATGTGTTCTGGTACATGTTCAGGTGCTGCTGATTCTGTAGGAATGTGTTCTGGTACATGTTCAGGTGCTGCTGTCTGGCCAGTTTCCGATTCTGTAGGAATAAGTTCTGGTACATGATCAGGTTTTTCTGTCTGACCAGCCTCTGATTCTGTAGGAATGTGTTCTGGTACATGTTCAGGTGCTGCTGTCTGACCAGTTTCTGATTCTGTAGGAATGTGTTCTGGTACATTATCCAGTATTTCTGTCTGACCAGCCTCTGATTCTGTAAGAATGTGTTCTGGTACATGTTCAGGTGCTGCTGTCTGGTCAGTTTCTGATTCTGTAGGAATAGGTTCTGGTACATGATCAGGATTTTCTGTCTGACCAGCCTCTGATTCTGTAGGAGTGCGTTCTGGTATACGTTCAGGTGCTGCTGTCTGGCCAGCCTCTGAATCTGTAGGAATTTGCTCTGGTACATTATCTGGTATTTCTGTCTGACCAGCCTCTAATTCTGTAAGAATGTGTTCTGGTATGTGTTCAGGTGCTGCTGTCTGACCAGTTTCTGACTCTGTAGGAATGTGTTCTGGTACATGTACAGGTGCTGCTGTCTGGCCAGCCTCTGATTCTGTATGAATGTGTTCTGGTACATTATCCGGTATTTCTGTCTGACCAGCCTCTACTTCTGTAGGAATGTGTTCTGGTATATGTTCAGGTGCTGCTGTCTGCCCCAATTCTGATTCTGTAGGAATAAGTTCTGGTATATGTTCAGGTGCTGCTGTCTGACCAGTCTCTGATTCTGCAGGAATGTGTTCTGGTACATGGTCAGGTATTTCTGTCTGACCAGCCGCTGTGCCTGTAGGAAGGTGTTCTGATACATGTTCAGGTGCTGCTGTCTGACCAGTCTCTGATTCTGCAGGAATGTGTTCTGGTACATGGTCAGGTATTTCTGTCTGACCAGCCGCTGTGCCTGTAGGAAGGTGTTCTGATACATGTTCAGGTGCTGCTGTCTGACCAGTTTCTGATTCTGTAGGAATGTGTTCTGGTTTGTATTCAGGCACCTCAGTGTGGTCTTCCTCATGAACAAGTTCAGGCACTTCTGTAGGCCTGGTTTCAGGTTCTATTGGAGCATGTACTGGTGCTTCTGTATGGCCATAATCAGATTCTGTAGGGATGTGCTGTAGTTCGTGTTCAGGAGATTCAGAATAGCCAGTCTCAGATATATTTACAGATGTCTCTGTGTGTCCCAATACTGACTCTGTAGGAATATGTTCCGGTTCTTGCTCAGGTGCTTCAGATTTGTCTTTCTCTGGAACATGTTCTGGTACCCTTGTATGTCCAGTTACAGATTCTGTAGGGATATGTGTAGATACATGCTCAGGTGTTTCTGCATGATGTAGCTCTGACTCTGTAAGAACTTGTTGTGGTTTCAGCACAGTCTCGTTTGTATGCTGTGAAGGGATATAAGCTTGGTTCTGTTCAGGTGCAAATGTATAATCAGCTTCTAATTCTGTAGGACCATGTTCTGTTATATGTCCAGGTACTTCTGAGTGACCAGCCTCAGTAACTTTAGGAAGATGATCTCCAGGTGCTTCAGTCTGGTGTGCCTCTGATTCTGTCAGAACATAGTCTGGCTTCAGTAGAGGTGTTTGTGTGTGATATGAAGGAATATCTTCAGGGTTCTGTTCATTATCTTTTGTTTGGTCAACATGAGAATCTGCAGGCTTCTGCTCAGATTCAGGTTGTGTGAGACCTATCTCTGATTCTGTAGGAACAAATTCTGGGACATGTAGAGGTGTTTCTGTGTTACTAGTACCTCCTGCCTGTTCTGTGGGAGAATATTCCGGTTTTTGCTCAGGTGCTTCAGTATAATGTGCTTCAGAATCTATGGACAAAGATTCTGGTTTTTCTTCTGGTGTTACTGTCTGATCCGTCTCAGGTTGAATGGTAATTTCTTCTACTTTCTCTACAGGTGACTCAGAATAATCTTTCTCAGATTCTGGCTTCCTTTCTGGTTTGTCTGTGTGGCTAGTTTCAGGTAGAATGGTAACGTGCTCTGGTGCCACTGAATAATGAACTTCCAAATCATCAGGGAGGTGTACAGGTGTTGCTGAATGGCCAGTATCAGAATCAAGAGGAATATGTTCTGGCACTTCAGTGTGGTCTGTCTCAGATCCTGTAGAAATATGTACTGGTTTCTCTTCTAATCCTTCAGTGTGATCAAATTCTCCAGCTTTTATTGGTGCTTCTGTATGACCAAGGTCAGATTCTATTGGAATATGTTCTGGTTTGTGTACAAGTGTTTCAGTTTGAGCTATATCAGAGTCTGTAGGAATATGCTCTGGCTGTGTATGCTCTGTCACAAAATGTCCAGGAATGTACTGCGGCTTTTGTTCAAGTTCCTCTGACTCACCAGTTCCATGCTGAGGTGCTACAGTTATGTCTGTCTCTGAGTCAATAGGAACAAGTTCAGGCTTTTGTACTGGTGATACTGTCTGGCCAACCTCAGATAATATAGGTACATTTTCTTGTTGTTGATCAGATTCTATTATATTTTCATCATCAGGTTCCACAGGAATAATCTCTGGTTTATGTTCAGGCACTTCATGAGATCCTGCAGAACTTGATGGTTTCTGATCAGGAGCTTTTCCTGATCCCGCTTCTGGCTTTTCTGGTAGATATTCACCAGGAATCTCAGCTGCTGATGATTCTGTAACTTGATGAAATTTCTCCTCTGATACTGATTCTACGCTAATAGTTGTTTTGAGGCTTTCAATTTTCTCTTCCTCTGTTGATTGTGTTGTACTAGGAAGTTGTGTTCCCGCCATCTGGCTGTCGGACTCAGGAGTTTCCTTTTTATCTTCATCTGTAAGAAATTAAGACTGACTTAACATAAAATGACACAAAACTTATTGCTTAAAATAAGTCCAGAGATTTGTGACAAAGGGGTGTTGTTAAAATGACACCTATGTTGGACATTTTCCACCTTCTTGTCTTTTGACATAATGCATGCTTCAGAAATTGTCTCTGCTTCTGTCAATACATGAAACGTCTACTGTTGGGCCCACTGGGGTTAATCTCTGTCTTTGAACTGGGATATGTCCATATATATGGAAGATGGAAGATAATGGCTTAGCATAGTAGTAACACCCTAGATTCATGTTTGGGAGATGCTCAATTCAAGTCTCAGTTGGGGCATCAGCTATCCCAAGCGAGATTATTTTTGGTCTTACTCAGTCCTTCTAGGCAAATTCCAGGATAGTATTTTGATTATGTCATGACAATTTCCTTGTAAATCCTTTCTAATTTATCATTCATCTGTCATCCATCCATTCAATGTTATACAATCCAGCTGTAGAAAGCATCATCAAATAACATACAAAAAGGGAAAGCACATACTACATGAAGTCTCTGACTATATTTACTAAGCTGTCAGAACTGGTAAGATAGCTAAAGGATTAATGAACAGAGTTCCCACAGGCTTAACCGATGGATGTGGTCCTTGAGCAATGCTTTGAACACACGCAGTATATACACTGTAAGAAGCTTAAAAGGAGAAAGTTTTGCTGCCAATGTTGCAATTTGAGGTTCCATACATATTTTCATGATAAGTTCACTAAATCTGCACAGTATAAAGAGAATAATTAAATACTGTTGTGTAGAGAACACAATCTATATAAATATATAAATTTTTAATAATATGGCCATATATATTGAACCCTATCAAACCCTGCAGTTTTTCTACTACAACAGCAACTAATAAATGTCACAGGCTACTAAAGTCTAATTTCTGTGGGGGATGGAGTGAATTAATTTCATACATAGTACATAAAATGTAAAAAGTTACCCTTGAGATTTCGTTTCTCAAGAAATTATAAAATGTAGTATTAGCTAGCTAATCAGATAGTTGTTACTAATATGATAAGAATCACTGAGTGATGACACTTACCAGCTGCATGTCACATTATTCTAGCTAGCTAGCCAAGCACTATATTTCTTTCCAATACCATTACCCTGAGTTAAAATATGGCTGCAGCATTGTAGAAAAAGGAGATTTAGAATCCCCTACTTGTTGAAAAATAAACTATCACACTCAGATTAAAATGTGTTTATGTTATATGATCAGGCACTTTCCTGGACATTGATTAATGACTTAAATTTAAATGCTAATGTGTAAGAATTGTATAGAATGAAGATGATCTTGAAAAAATGGTGATTTAATTCCAATTACAGCCACCTGGACATCCAATTTCTCAGTTAAATGCATCAACTTTCTCTTGTGTGACCAATAAAGTAATTGAAGAGCACCATTTTCTGGCAAGTTTGATGTAAATCTACTGATTTATTGCAGAAACATACTGCTTCCATCTATAGGATCCAAGAGTAAAGCAATCAAATAACAAACAAGAAGCATGTGGTAAGCAGATTTGCTTGCTGGCTGGTTACTTGCTTCACTCAATCTACGACCTTAATGGTGGAGTTAGTATATTCTTCTGAAACACTGATGAATTTCAACCGGATTGAATGGCCTTACATCCAATATAACAGTACTTTTCACAGATATCACTGTGACAGCCTCAAATCCAACAATATTGCAATTCTTACCACACGTGTATGTTGGGCAACATGAGTCACTGCTGTGGTGAACAGGCATGCAATTACTGTGATGAAGTGGGGGTGGAGTGCATTTCACAAGAATGCAGTGCACAATGCTACTGACACAGCGGCAGCTCAGCTGGCAGTGGGACGCTGGTGGAATAGCAGAGTTGTTCAAATAGGTCTGGCCATTAATGAGACAGTTACCTGCAAACATAACAGTGTATCTAATATGATGTCTTGAAAAACTCTTGATAATTCTTCACAAAAAATTTTACCTTCTCATATTTTATATTTGTTACACTTTAGTACTAAGATTCTTTTCTTTTCGTTTGTGGGTTAGTGTATGTGGCTGTCAGTAACTAACTTATTTCATGGAACTGAGCCCTTCCTGAGAAGCCACCAGTTGTGCAGCTACTCAAGACCTTTTCAATAATTTGTGGAACCTGAAAGTTCATTACTCTGTTCACAAGAGCCCTCCACTTGTCCTATCCTCAGCCAGATCAACTCAGTCCATACCACCCCATTCTCTCTCTCTAAGACCCACTTTAATATTATCCACCCACCTACATCTTGGTCTTCCAAATTGTTGCGTCAGTAACTCAGATTATATAGCATCAGATGGTAGGGTGACTAGTGAATGATGAATTTAAAAGGTATTTGTAAGGAAGCAATCAAAGCCTTTAGTGGTGGGACTGGGGAAAATCGCGAAAAATGTCAGTCAGGATAGCTGATGTCAAAACTGAATTCAAACAAAGCACCTCCTGAATATATGCCTAGAGCATTACTAACAGAACAAACTTTTTGTACATTATAATGCCATAAAAGTAAGGTAAAGTTGACCCTGTGCTTAATTTGTTAGGTATTATGCCATTAAGGTACGGCCTCTGTGGTCTAATGGTCAGAGTTCCTGGCTACAGATCCAGAGGTCCGGGCTCGATTCCCGGGGCTACCAGATTTTTTCTGCGAAGTAGTGGGTCTGGAACGGGGTCCACTCAGCCTCGTGATGATAATTGAGAAGCTATTTCAAGGAAATAGAGGCTCCGGTCTAGAAAATCGAAATTAACGGCTGTGGGGATTCGTTGCGCATTCGTTCTCTTTACTAGACTAGTAAAGACTAGTAAAGAGAACCCCACATGCTGTGGAGGAAGCACACACAAACCAGGAGCATATGGCAGATAAAAACTGAAAGTAGACCATGAACGTGAGGGGCAAGCTGCCAAGAAAAACACCTTGATACATTTACGAAAATGACGACACCCCAGGTGAGGTGAAATAATATGCAACAGAAATTTTAAATGATTTTATCTTGTTTTACTTAAGAAGACTACAAGGCCAAGATTAACCTTGAATACACAGAAGAAAATTTCAGACAAGGTGGTGGAGGGTGTGAGAAGTGACAGGCGGCCAGTGGAAGAACGAGTGTTAAGAAACTCCTCCCACCACAAGCTATGCGCAGGATTTGAGTAGGAACGTGGGGCCTTGTTCGAAGTTACGTGACACTGTCTATAATACAATTTTTATGATAAATGGATGGAATTAACATCATTTTTAATTGCAAACAACACAGTGTCGCATATTATAACGTAAGATTTGAAAATATGCAGACAACATGATACAAAATACTTTTAATTTTTTCTTCTAATTTTGATGTGTACTGTAGAAGTAGTTTCCCACTTCTTCACATTGTAGTTCTGCATTATAAAATCACTCCTGCTTGTAGCCCTTGAAATATTTTCTGGTGCCATAAAACATCTGAAAGCAATAAAGTCATTTGGTTCTCTGCTGGCAAGTTTCATCTCTTTGTTACACCCTTCAGATAACCCAGTCTTTTAACTAACAGACAGAAAAGTGAAAACATGTCCTTTCAAGAAAGGTTAGAGGGAATACTCGTTGTTTCCTAATTCAGTGCCAAGTCCTGCCATTGCAGCTGCAAGAGAATATTGTCCTTTGTATGTTTGCAAACAAATGCTTGCATTGCAGCTGAGATACAGAGTCAAAGAGTTTTCTGTGACTTCACAGAGAATTTGAATAATGTACATAGTTTCCTTTATCATACAATGGTAATGAAATGTCTGGAAGATTATGAAATTCAAACGCAGTTGAAATGCAAGATATGAGGCATTGGACTGTGCTTTCTCGGGTGCTTCAAGAAGTATTACACAAAGATGAGATTAAGTTACATGACGCAGGGGTTGAAGCCTGTATATACGTTGAGCAGATAACAACAAAAAAAATATGTCTAGTGAATTTTACTATATTTAAAAATAAATATTTAGGATTGTGCATATATGCTTCTACTAGCGGTGTGTGCACACGCTTCCAACAGAGTCGTTTAAATGCCCAACTCCACAAATTGGTGTACTTCAGCCACTTCAACCATATTCATCACTGTACCGATCGGTGCACTTCGGACATTAAAGATTAGAGAAGGACCTGACTGTCTAGAGGTAATGTCAGAAAATTTCATGGTGAAGTTTCGTCAATTTAAGATGAACATCTCTATACACGTTCACCTTCCTTCAACTTTAACAAAGTCAACAAATATAATATTGTCAACATTTTCTGTAGGTGAGGAATATCTGGCACAAACCATGGTTCAATTCTATATTAAATATATGCAATGAAGAACAAAGCCCTACATCTTGCTTGAAATATGAGGAAAATTCCATCTCTAAATACTATGAATCAAATTATTCACAAATTCATACCTTCACCAGGAACAACTCCATGTGAGGGAACAGTTGCAGTTGTGGTAGTTATGGCAGATGCTCCTCCAGGAGCATGTGAGATAACATTGTCAGCACTAAGTCCAGCTTCACTTGTAATAACAAGAGATGTGTTTGCTGCTGGAATGTGTGTCACAACTTCAACTCCAATATCACCTTCAGTTACATAGTCATTTTCAATGCCACTATTTAGAGATGACTGCTCTATCTTTCCACCCTCGGTTACTGGTTCCTGTTCCACAGGTGACGTTTCTCCCTTCGCCACCTCAAATACTGGTCCTTGTTCCACAGATTGCTCTCCACCTTTCAACACCTCAGTTACTGGTTGTTGTTCCACAGATTGCTCTCCGCCTTTCAACACCTCAGTTACGGGTTGTTGTTCCAAAGATGGCTCTCCAACTTTCACCACCTCACTTACTGGTTTTTGCACCAAAGATGGCTCCCCATCCTTCACTGCCTCAGTTACTGGTTTTTGCACCAAAGATGCCTCCCCATCTTTCACCGCCTCAGTTACTGGTTCTTGTTCCACAGATGGCTCCTCACCCTTCATTAATTCAGTTACTGGTTCTTGTACCAAAGATGGCTCTTCATCCTTCACCACCTCAGTTACAGACTCCGGTTCCACATATGCCTCTCCGCCTTTCAACACATCAGTTACTGACTCTTGTTCCAAAGATGGCTCATCAGTTTTCACTGCCTCAGTGACTGGCATTTGTACCATAGATGGCTGCTCACCCTTCACTATTTCAGTTACTGGTTCTTGCTCCACAAATGACCCTTCACCCTTCACTATTTCAGTTACTGGTTCTTGCTCCACAGATGGTCCTTCACCCTTCAACTCAGTTACCGGTTCTTGTCCCACAGAGGGCTCTCCACCTTTCACCGCCTCAGTTACCGGTTCTTGTTCCTCAGATGGCACTCCACCTTTCACCACCTCAGTTACTGGATTTTGTTCCACAGAGGGCTCTCCACCTTTCACAACCTCTATTATTGGTTCTTGCTCCACAAATGACCCTTCAACCTTCACTATTTCGGTTACTGGTTTTTGCTCCACAGATGATCCTTCGCCCTTCAACTCAGTTACTGGTTCTTGTTCCACAGATGACTCTCCACCTGTCACCACATCAGTTACCGGTGCTTGTTCCACAGATGGCTCTCCACCTTTCACAACCTCTATTATTGGTTCTTGCTCCACAAATGACCCTTCAGCCTTCACTATTTCGGTTACTGGTTTTTGCTCCACAGATGGCTCTCCACCTGTCACCACTTCAGTTACCGGTTCTTGTCCCACAGAGGGCTCTCCACCTTTCACCGCATCAGTTACCGATTCTTGTTCCACAGATGGCTCTCCACCTGTCACCACATCAGTTACCGGTGCTTGTTCCACAGGTGGCTCTCCACCTTTCACCACATCAGTTACCGGTGCTTGTTCCACAGATGGCTCTCCACCTGTCACCACATCAGTTACCGGTGCTTGTTCCACAGGTGGCTCTCCACCTTTCACCACATCAGTTACCGGTGCTTGTTCCACAGATGGCTCTCCACCTGTCACCACATCAGTTACCGGTGCTTGTTCCACAGATGGCTCTCCACCTTTCACCACATCAGTTACCGGTGCTTGTTCCACAGGTGGCTCTCCACCTTTCACCACATCAGTTACCGGTGCTTGTTCCACAGATGGCTCTCCACCTGTCACCACTTCAGTTACTGGTTCTTGTCCCACAGAGGGCTCTCCACCTTTCACCACCTCATCTTGCTCCACAAATGACCCTTCAGCCTTCACTATTTCAGTTACTGGTTCTTGTTCCACAGGTGGCTCTCCACCTGTAACCACATCAGTTACCGGTTCTTGTTCCACAGATGGCCTTCCACCTTTCACAACCTCAGTTACTGGTTCTTGTTCCACAGATGGCTCTGCACCTTTCACCACCTCAGTAACTGATTCTTGTTCCACAGATGGCTCCCCACCTTTCACAACCTCAGTTACTGGTTCTTGTTCCACAGATGGCTCTGCACCTTTCACCACCTCAGTTACTGACTCTTGTTCCAAAGATGGCTCATCAGTTTTCGCTACCTCAGTGACTGGCATTTGTACCACAGATGGCTTTTCACCCTTCACCACCTCAGTTACTTGTTCTTGTTCCACGGATGGCCTTTCATCCTTCACTACCACGGTAGTTGGTTTATGTTCTGCACTTAGGTCTTCACCTTTCACTAATTCAGTTACTACCTCGTGTTCAACAAATGGTTCTTCACCCTTTACTNAACTGATTCTTGTTCCACAGATGGCTCCCCACCTTTCACAACCTCAGTTACTGGTTCTTGTTCCACAGATGGCTCTGCACCTTTCACCACCTCAGTTACTGACTCTTGTTCCAAAGATGGCTCATCAGTTTTCGCTACCTCAGTGACTGGCATTAGTATCACAGATGGCTTTTCACCCTTCACCACCTCAGTTACTGGTTCTTGTTCCACAGATGGCCTTTCATCCTTCACTACCACGGTAGCTGGTTTATGTTCCGCACTTAGGTCTTCACCTTTCACTAATTCAGTTACTACCTCGTGTTCAACAAATGGTTCTTCACCCTTTACTACTTCAGTTACTGGTTCATCACCCTTTACTTTTTCAGTTACTGATTCTTGTTCTGTGGATGGCTCTTCACCCTTCAGTACCTCAGTTACTGGTCCTTCATCTTTCACTCTTTCAGTAAATGGTTCCTGGCTCACAAATGGCTCTTCTTCCTTCACTATTTCAGTCACTGGTTCTTGTCCCACAGATGGCTCTTCACCCTTCCCTAATCCAGTTACTGATTCTTCACCCTTCACTGTTTCAGTTACTGATTCTTGATCCACAGATGGCTTCTCAGCGTTCACTCTTTCAGTTACTGGTTCTTGTTCTGTGGATAGCTCTTCACCCTTCACAATTTCAGTATCTGGTTCTTGTTGCACGGATGGCTCTTCACCCTTCACTACTTCAGTTACCAGTTCTTCACCTTTCACTACCTCAGTTATTGGTTTATGTTCCACAGATGGCTCTTCACCCTTCTCTACCTCAGTTACTGGCTCTTGTTCCACAGATGGTCTTTCACCCTTTGCTATCTGCGTTACTGGTTCCTGTTCCACAAATTGCTCTTCACCTTTAACCATCTCAGTAACTGGTTCCTGTTCCTTCACTACTTCAGTTACTGGTTGCTGTTCCACAGATGGTTCTTCACCTTTCACTACCTCAGTTACTGACTCTTGTTCTGCAGATGGTCTTTCAACCTTAACTATCTCAGTTACCGGTTCCTGCTCCACAGATGGCTCTTCAACCTTCACCACCTCAGTAATTGGTTCCTCATCCTTCACTATCTCCGTTACTGGTTTCTGTTCCACAGATGGTTCTTCACCTTTCAGTACCTCAGTTACGAGCTCTTCGCCCTTCAGTACCTCAGTTACTGATTCCTGTACCACAGACAGCTCTTCACCCTTCACTCTTTCTGTTATTGGTTCATGTACCACCGATGGTCCTTCACCTTTCACTACCTCAGTAGCTGGTTCTACACCTGTCACTATTTCAGTTACTGGCTCCTGTTCAACAGATGGCTTCTCATCCTTCAGTACCTGAATTACTGGTTTTTCACCCTTCACTATTTCAGTTACTGGTTCTTGCTCCACAGATGGCTCTTCACCTTTTATACCCTCAGTAACTGGTTCTTGTTGTACAGATGGCTCTTCACCTTTCACACCCTCAGTAACTGGTTCTTGTTGTGCAGATGGCTCTTCACCTTTTACACCTTCAGTAACTGGTTCTTGTTGTACAGATGGCTCTTCACCTTTCACACCCTCAGTAACTTGTTCTTGTTGTACAGATGGCTGGACACTCACTGCCTCAGTTACTGGTTCCTGTTCCATCAATTGTTCTTCACCTTTCACTGCTTCAGTTACTGGTTCTTGTTCCACAGATGGTTTTTCACCCTTGATTACCTCAGTTACTGGTTCTTGTTCCTTGATTACCTCAGTTACTGGTTCTTGTTCAACAGATGGCCTTTCAGCCTTCATGCCTTCAGTTACTCTTTCCTGCCCCTCAGATGTTTCTTCACCCTTCACTCTCTGAGTTGTTGGTTCATGCTCTAGGTTATCTTCTTGTCCCTCTATTGCTTCTGTTACAAAATGCTGTGTTACCAGTGGTTCATCTCCTTCTGCTCCCTCAGTTACAGGTTCCTGTTGCAAGGAAGATTCGCTATCCTTTCCCCTCTCAGTTACTAATTCCTCTTGTGTAAAAACTTCCTCTCCCTTTATTTTCTCTGTTACCTGTTCATGGTCAAGGTGTGGTTTTTCAATCTTTGGCTCTTCTGTTGATGGTTCTTGCACTGTAGATGGTACACTGTCCTTCTCTGCTTCAGATACTTGTTCATGTTCAATAGGTTTTTCCTCTATCTTGCTGCTCTCTGTTGTTACTTTCTCATCATTTGAGGCTTCTGTTGCAGATTCTTGTCCTAAAGGAACAGTGACCGGTGATTCAGTAGCTTGCCCCCTTTCAGTTACTTCTGCATGTTGTATTCCAGTAATATTTGTTTCTCCTCCTCTCTCTCCATTAGGTACATTATTATTTTCTATAACATCATCTACAGATTGTTCAACATTAGCCACTGTTCCTGTTACTGTTTGCTCTATGCCTGGTTCTTGAGTTACTTTTTCTTGTTCAGGGCCAGCAGGGGATGACTCTTCCACTTTTTCTGCACTAGTTTCTCTATTTTTATCACTTCCTGTTCCTTCACCACTCATGGGTTTTTCTTCTCCTTTCTCAGTTGCAGCACCACTTACTAGTTGCTGGTCTAGGTTCACATCCACTGAACTAGTTACTGCTTGTTCATCCCCTTTTACTCCTTCAGCACTGGTAACTGGCTGTTCTTGAATTCCTGCTTGACTGGTTGTCAGTGTTTCGCCTTTTAAATCTGGCACTGTTTCATGATGTATACCCATTCCTTCAGATACACCTTCTCCTACCTCAGGTATACTTTCCTGTTCTATAACGCCTGTTGTATCTTGGTCATCATGAATTGTCTGAATTTCAGTTTCACCGTGAATATCAGGTAGCTGTTGTCCATATTCTCCAGAAGAAGAGAGCTCTTCAGTGTCAGCATTTTGTGTTACTTGTATTTCTTCATGTTCTTTCTTCTCTGTTACTGGTTGTCCATTGTATGTTGTTCTCTCATGTTCTTCTTCCTCCCCACGTATGCTGCTGGCAGTAGTAGTTCTTGTTGCAAGTGAACCTACATCGGCATGTTCTGTTGTCTCATGAGAAAGGCTCTCTAATGGAAGCGTTCCATTATCTATAAACAATAAAGTCTTTAATTAATATTCACATTCCTGTACTGTAAGATCACAAGTAAATCAAGGGATATAAACTGGAAAGTAATAAATTTCCAACAAAAGAAATCCGCTATAATAATTAATATGAGCTAACCTGAGAACACTTATTATATGCTTGAAGTGAGATCCACAATAACCTGTCAACTGTGACAATTCCTCTTAAAATGTTGTTGGTAAGACATATTTACAATGGAACACAGAGCACAGAGTGGAAATAAATGTGAATTTATTTCTAATTGATGGATATTTAAAAAAACAGAACTTTAGCTCATGACACAGTTCTGTGTAACAGTTGGTTATATCAGGGCTTGTGTTAATGGTTCAATCACAATACTTGAGTTTATATATTTTGCCTTTCGTTCCTTGGAGCAATCTGCATTTCATGCCATAAAACATATTAAGGCTCAAAGATAAAGAAGTAAAAAATAACTTTGTAGGAAGCTACTGTATATAGTAGTAAAGAAAATCCCACTGAAGCCTGAAAAGTTTATTTTGTAGTAGTCATAAAAGACCAAACAGGCATGATTATCAGGGAAGGTTACTGGCAGAGCACTACACTGGCCAGGAGTTACTGCCTAAGAACCAATTACAGTAAACTACTGGTTATCCATCATACATGCATCTGAAATTCTTATGCAACCTGCATAAATTTCCAAGAAAGTTTACCGTTTTTATAAAGTTATTTAAAAAACAAAGTTGTAATGTGTATACATTAATCTGCTACAATGTAGTACTCCCAGATGTCACTAATAGCACTGCATGTTATCCCCCTCATGAAGTGCCATTAGTTTCAGTGACCATGAATACAATGGATGCTATTTGAATTTATGATTATGTTACAGATAACAGAAGTCTTTCACTCATCAATCCATTGTCACCTAAGAAGACCCGAATAAAAGAAGTAATGCAAAAATGTGTTGCAAACACTTTGAAACAGAAACTGGAAATATGTTAGTAAATATGTAAACGACTGGAAAATTGTGTAATTGAATGAATATTGGGGTTTTGTGAGAGTTTTCTCATAAACTGCCAAATTCATTAAATTGAATCATCAGATTTCCCATACATGCAGGATAACTTGGAGCCTACTGTAGCTAGAAATAGCGGACCAGCACACAGTTCAACATTTACAAGTCACAAAATAAAGATGTTATTGCTATTAAAAAAAAACAAATGTTTCTTTGCCTTAAATCACCTTTAAAAAAATATAACCATTATGTAATACATTCAATATAATATGTGGATATGACAGAACTACGATATACTATGAATAACTAGCTCAATCGTCATAGTTCTTCAAATGCTTATAGTCGCTCAAATTTTCAAGAAATTCCCTGCCTTTTATGGAATGCAACTTTCATTACTCTTTTCATAACAGCCTTTTACTATCCTATTCTGAACTAGGTGAATCCAGTCCACATTCTGAACATGTAGGAAATCTTTATAGCTGAAGGACCAGATTGTGGTTTACAAGTGCTTTGGCATGCTCGATAGAGTTCTACATGGTATACTTCAAGTATAATATGAATAATGAATTCTATTACTCAAGACTGTGTGACAGGTGGTGCTACTCCCAGTTGCTGACAAGACTGCGGTTTTAATATTAAGAAATACTGTCACAAATTAAAAATAACATTATAAGTAAATTTTCACAGCAGCTGTATGGACCATATATATCTGGCAGTTGGCCATAGTTCGTTCGCCCCTAGTCTAGATGTCCTCCCCCCCGCCCCCCAATGGGTCAGTCTAACTTCAAAGAAGGAATGTCCAACTTTTCTGTTTGCATGTATGTTCACAATATAATTTGCTGTGCAATAACACTGCAATAAACACTTCACTCTTCAATTTTATTCCACCTTATGAACTTGCAACTGAAATGGCTTAATTTTGGCTTTGGAATTGTGCATATGGAATATTCAGGAAATTTAACATACCACAGTAGTATCCAACAGGAACAAAGTAGCCCTATGGACAAATTAGTACAATTTTAACTCCATAATGATTTACTTAATGGATTGCAATAGCCATACACATAAGCATTCATAGTTCCCTAACTGTTAATTTGACAGGGAGGTAAGAAGAAAGCAGCTCTATACTTCCAGCTTGGCTGTCACCAACATGCTTCCCACAGTTGAACAGAGAAGAAAATATTTAGTATCTGGGTATTTTTTCTGGTTACTGCCTCACATGAATACATTAGCTTTTCCATGTTAAGGTTTGATGTGTTATGCAAAGTTTGGTTACATTAGCTCATGTAAGTTATTTCAGGTTATGATAGGTTAGGTTACAGATGTACATTTACATCATTTGATCCTTTTACTAACACCAGGATAAAAAGGGTTAATGCTCAGTGAAACGAAGAGAATGATGACATTATTTTTGACAGCCAGTGAAGAAATTAATTACACTTGACTGAATAATATTTGGAATGCTTGATAACAAAAGCATAAGAGTGGTATATAGAAGCTCGAATCATGTAAATCTGTATATAAATCAAGCACGAAATCTTTGAGATCTTATATCCAAAACAACAACAGTGGTTTTATGAACATTATCTCCACTGTAAGAAATACTTTTGTCAGCATGTTGTTATTTTCACTTTCGTGCTCAATATCAGAGTGAACAGATAAGGGAAGCTGCCAAGAAATTGTTCCGAATACAATCATTACCATTGGCATCATTTTCATGTTTGCGATTCTGCCTCAAGGAGAGGTCGTTCACGTGTCTTATCTCGTTATCTGAAATCACAAAGTGTGAGGTGATTGTGAGTCTCTGCAGACTTCTTCTCGGTCAGTAAATCTGGACTCTGTATGGCAGCAAAGATCTGAATGTTAGATGGTTTTATTAATGAAACCGCTTATGTAATTCTTCCCTGAGTTAGAACCCAATACTGCACTGAACTTCCATGCTGCAATAAAGTTGTCAAGTTTTGTGCTGCTACAAATTTGTTTTGAATAATCCACCGGATGCACTCACTGTCCTTTTAAATAGCAACAGGTTTCCTATACCCCTTGTATATGGAACTTTCCATTTTTGTAGATGTTGCAGGAACACTATTTATAATACATAACCTAAACAAGAACCCATGTATGTATCAATGTATTGGATAAAAGTACATGACACACAAAACCATTATGCTGAAGAGTCAAAAAAGCAATTGCATGTATATACAGAAGAGTATGGCAAATAACAGAAGAAGTTACTATAAGTAGCACTGGTTGAATGGTAGAAAATGAAGAATTTATTTCTTTAACATGGTTGCCATCAATTATTGATTAATCACTGAAAAATCTGTAGACCTTATCAACTACATTCATTTGAATTAAGTATGTCAACTGATGCTTGTGGTGGGTGAAATTAGGAGCACTGGTGCCAACATTATACCACAAAGGCAGCTCTTTCTTTAGGTGCATATCTCCATCGAAATTCTAGAGAGAAGTCCTTCCCTTCTTCATCTAACATATCAACAACTTATAAATGATAGTGGACAGTTCTGTATTTCTGTCAGTAAATTCTTCTTTACACAATACCAAAACTTTCAAATTCAAAGATTAGTTTTAATATCTTGGATTTTGTTCACCTACTACATCATATCCTCCATTATCTATCCTGACAGATATTGCTCAAGATACTAAAAATACGATACCCCTTCATCACAAATATTCAGAAATTAGAGTTCAGAGAATTTAACAGAATGAATTGCAAGCTTGCACATTGCAACAGTATAATTTTAAATGAATTACTCTTGCCCATTAACAGTGATAACTGTGAAATTTCAAATCAAGATTTCCTACATTCTTGCTTTTGCATTTGAGGATAGTATCATTAATTTGAATATATTAAGTAAATGCTGGTCTATATTCTAATGTACATGATGATACAGATGAGTTTATCAAGCTTGGTAGGTATATCAGTGGTTTTGAACAAAGAAGTCCTATCAACACGGATCCAATTCAGAAAGTATAGGGAGCCACATCCTTTTCAAACTGAGATCTAAACATAGAACAAATTAAGATTTTGAATGAAAAATTTTACAAAAACGTCAATGAATAATTTAAATAAATATTATCTAATAAGAAATATTTCAAAAAGACTGCTCAAAATGTCTGCCTGTTACATGAATACACATTTAAGCATGCAAGATTATAGAAGAGGTTGGCAACATTGTGCCCCAAATGTGCATTAAAATTACAAGCACGTCAAAGTGTTTTTGTATTATGTTTCAGTGTTATATACACTAAGGTTAGCTTTACAAGGAAAGTATTATGAAATCCTTCACTAAAAGCCCCTATTCTGGTACTTATCTTACTTCCAGCTTGTAGAACTTCTTAAATGTTGAACTTGAACCATGTTGTTAAGTCCTATTTTCAGTCTCAAAATCACGTAATTAATCTACGTGCAAAGTTTGGTACACCCATCCTAAATTATCCTGTATTCTTAATTTATTGTTTATTCAATAAGATTTTGAATTCATATATCTGATATTTGCCACTTAATGTGCATGAAGGATTAAGGAAGGCACAGCACAGAAGAAAGACTTTTGACAAACACTGAAAAGTTTTAAAAACAAAGAATAATTTTTCAGCATAAAAAAGCATGCTTTGAACACAAAATCATGTATCAATATGGTAAGCTTTATTTTACAGCATATTAGTGAATAAGACAGAGGATGAAGATAACTATTTTGCAATAATAAAAGTTTTTTTCTTGTATTTGTCTCTGGTGGGTAATAGGGAATTATATATAGGAGTTAGGTTAACAATCACACAACAAATATTCTCACTTTTAATGTTTTGCAATAAGCTTTTTATTCCTGCTACATGTTTCAGTCGTATAAGACCATTATCAGGCAGTTAATATAGGAATACATTTAGTTACTGAACTACCAATATGGATCCATACCAGTGCAACATGTCATATTATATAACAACAGAAAAATTTTTTGCCTCAAGCTGGTAAGTATTACAATTAAAATAAGATGAAAAAAAAATAAGATAAAAAATAAAATATAGAAAAGATGAAATATACCATATACCAAGCTATATTAGTTGATATAAATGTTGAATATATTACAGAAATATGAAATATTAAAAAAAAATACTTTAATTTTTTTTAAATATTTAAAACTATCATGTATGAGAGGTAAGAATATGTATGTCAATTAATTCTAGGTTCCAGTGTTACAGCATAGAATTTGTCATGTTATGTCATTGTAGATCTTTGTTGTTAGAAGCTTTCTACATAGTAAGACCTGACATGGCTCTATGATGTATGGGTTGTTAAGGTGTGATGTGTTGGGTGTGCATATTTCCAATATGTGTCATTGTATGATCATAAAATGTGATGTACGTGTTTTTGTCTGGGTATCTATATGTTTGATGTGTTCTAACTGTGCATTGGTTTGATGTAGACTCAAGGGAATTACTTTAAATTAGAGGTGGAAATGAGTTTTCAGAACTAGGTAGATACTCCAGTTGAAAACTGGTAGATGATCCAGATCAGTAGAAATGCCCAAGGGGAAGTGACCCATCCTTTATTAAAAGGAAATCACTACAATGTAGGCTCTGGAAATAACTTCCTTAAATCAAGCACTCTGGAACTGAATATATGGTGAGTATCTGCATCTACCCTCATTTCAAACCCTGGTTTCAATATTTTCCACTTATGATGTAGGGCATTAAAATTCAGAAACTTGTATATCACATTTTTAGTATAACATATATGTATAATTAGATGTATTTAGAGTATACCTCAGAAGAAATGCCTTATAATATACAATGAAATAATTAATTAATTCTTGAAGATAATTATCAACAACTTTACTGAAGAAATGTGTTGATTACAACATGTATTCTGCGTTAATGAAAACTAAGACATCATCAGCGACTTCTTGCTTAACACTGGCATGGAATAATAAAATCAGGACATTAAAATAATTTTCCTGCAGAGTAAAGCACGGCCAGTGCATAAGGCTGACAACCTTGAAGCCATATTTAAGCCCATTGTCTAGATAATGTGGGACCCTCAACATCTCACAACCCTATGGGCCTTCACGGACTCTTACAGGGATAGCTTTACTTTATTTTTATTTCATGGATGTATTTATTTCTGGTTTTATCTAACAATGATCTTAGTAAATCAAGCTCCATAGCACTGGGGAGGATTATTAATGAATAATGATTGGAAAGATGAGATAGTCAGCAGCTACATTCTAATCTGAAATATGTCTCAGCACTTACGTACTTCCTAAGTACTTAGGAAAGGGACTGAAACATCAGAACTGGTCTCCAGGCTGAGATGTGAGGCCAGGATCTCCTGACTATGAGGCAGGAATGCCACCCACTCAACTGTGACATTCAGTTATCTAATAAAGGGTGGAAAGATTTCAATATATCTCTTTCCTGTTAACCAAAAAGAAACGGTTATAAAAATATACCCCAGAAATATACCCAGAAAGTTAGTAAAGTACATTTCGGTATAGAACATTTCATAATCTTAAAATATGATAATTTTAGATGCACTAAGGGACAGGATATAAAACACTACCTTTGCATATATACTTCAGTTATAGTTCGGTGAGAGGTGTCATTGGTTTTAAACGTGTGATCTGTAGAATATATTACAGTACATGTGTTTTCGATACCTAATGCCAGATTTATACTTTTAAACTTAATGAAGCCAAATCTTTCACGTTAGAGGTTGGAAATTAAGCAAGATTTAAGAATTTTAATTCAACATCCATGTCTTTAAGATCCAGGTCAGCATTCCGGCCCTAAAAGAAAGCATTACAGTGCCACTTGGGACTACCCCAGTTCAACTGCAGCCCTGGATGTAAATACAACTTAGTTAATTATTTCATGGTTTATCAGCTAGCTGCATGCACGGATGATGAAAATGTCAAGGTTAATTCTGCCACAATTTCACTATAAATAAGTGTGCAAAGTAGAAGCAAGGAGACTGACTAAAACATAGGTGTTAACCCATACTTTTCTCAGGTGAAAAATTTCCTAATAAGGAAATTACTCATACTTACCGCATTGATATTGTTCTGGACAACACTGGCCAGGTTGTGGTGGTAAAGCAGTGCAGTTCTTTCCTTCCCGTTCTAGTGGGGTACCACACTCTTGCACAGCACATACAATATCTCCTCGCATACAGTAACAATGTTCACATGGTTTTGAAGTTTCAATACGAGCACCATCTGCATATAACTCATCATTGAATCGACAATCCAATGGACCAGGTGTGGTTGTGGTTAGAAGAAGAGCAGGTGTGGGTCGCTGTGTTGTTGCAGGAAGTTCTGGAAGCTCTGTCACATCCACATAGTCTGAAAGTAAGAAGTTCATATTTATCATCACTCTCTATCATCTACTCAGTTTATCTAGTGTGACTGTAGCACTTAATATTTACACTCTATGAGCCAATTGGATATATTAGATGGGAGTTCTTGCATTAATATCACAAGAGCTGAAGGAACTGGCTCATTGCTGATCAATTAGTATAGTATTTCTGTCAACATATGACATCAAGTGTGATACACTAATGTTTAGAGGAAAGAATCACATTTCACATAACATATACATGGTGCTGCTTGAAGGTCATTTGAGACAAGTATTGTCAGTTTTCTCTTCAAATGTAATTACCCCCCATCAGCCCTGCGATTTCCAACAGGTAGTCAAGCAAGGCACCCATAGGGTTATGCAACACATGAACTCAAGTTGCTTAAAAAATCATCAAAATTCTATTTTGGTTTCATGGATTATCAGCACACAATTAAACCTTACATAGAATTAATATTGGGTTAATAATTAAGCAGCCCAAAAATGTGATTCTCCCACATTTAATCAGAGTAATAGCTTCTGCATAAATTCTTCGGGATGGTTATTCTCCGGATAATGGAAATTGTTCAATGGCAGTTTCATAAAATAATTACATACCAAGAGAAAAATTTTTGCACAAAAACGGCATAAAGGGGACCTATAGAGAACAACTGAGGTGTTCTCTTATAGCTCTGAAGTGGCTTTTTGACATAAATAAGATCTGTGAAATGACTGGTCCAAACAAGATTTTTAAATATAAATGGAGACCTACAAGTAAACTGAATGATTGTGAAACACCATGGTAAACTGCATCACAAAATCCTTAAATAAATCCTTCCCACCAGTGCTTTCCACTTTTAACATAAAGCAGAGAGTGTTAAGGTTTTCTGTTTATTTTATATATATTTTTCTAACAAACAATTTGAATGGTTTCTCATCTTTATTTGTGTTCTATGTATGCAGTGTACTATATTCCTGCTTTATAATCCAGGCAGAAAAGGCTTAAATATTACTGGAGAAAATTAAATTTTAATAATCACATATAATAAATAACTATATTCTTTTTCTTCTGTCCTCGACAGATTATGGCCCCAGCCTTCCAACTTCATAGCAATCTTTAAATTTATGTTACTGCACCTCCATAACCTTTTATTTGAGATAAAGTAAAACTTCTTTTATGACAGAACAACTAAATTATTAAGATTGAGATATTCTTGATGGCATTGCTTAGTGTGATTGGTGATTATCAGAGCCCAGATTCTGATGACATGTCATCTTTTGTTCCTTGTATCCTATGTGATGCTCTTATCTCGGATATGAGCTGCTGGTTACAGAAATGTAAAATTTATAGGTAATTTGTCATTTTCTGACATTTTTAGGTTTAAGGTCATTTTTCTTCATTTTGAGGGAATTTTTTTTGGTAAATTTTTGGACTTTTAAGGGTATTTCTTGTCATTTTTGGCCATTTAAGGAAATTTTTCTTCATATGTTTTTTGAAATGTGAATAACACGGAAGCGAAGAGTTCTTTCTTTTCCCCTTTAGGTTATTTTTCTGGATTTTTTCGATTTTATAGGTGATTTTTTTTAATATTTTCAGGTCATCAAAATCCAGGCCCTGCATATTACATTTTGGGTCATATTTTTGGTAATTTTTCTGTATTTTTTGATCATTTTATAGGTCATTTGTTAATATTTTCAGGTCATCAAAATCCAGGCCCTGTTGATTATTGATGTTCCAGAGAAAGCTGCTATCTCTGTATTTTATTCTGGAGAGGGAGGCAACAGATAACCCCCAAACACTGGTTACCACCTTCTAAAGTACATGATGTCATAGCACTTTAGACCACAAGCTTACTGTGCAAACCTCAAAATTCGACTACATCACAGATTTAAATTTTGTTATTTTCACATCACATTTAACCCATCCATCAGAAGTTACTCACAGACAACATTCTCTGATGATCCTGACCAAAAGAGCAACAATAAACATAACTGTTACACTTACCACAGTCATATCTAACTGGACAACACACTCCTGGCTGGTAAACTGGTCTACAACCTTCTACTTGCAATGTGCATTCTTGCATGACGCATGCCGTCTTGTTGCGGATGCAGTAGCAGAGTTCACATGGCTTGCTGGGATTTCCTGGTACCTAAATGAAAATTCAATGATACATGTGACTTTCAGCTAAGAGACATCCATATTAATTTAATTCATATTTCGGGTCGCTTTTAGTCCTACCTGTGCACCATCAGTGTAGAAAGTACTGTCAATTGTGCAGCCATGGGTGTCAGGATGGCCAACAGCTGACGTGGATCCAGTAGGGGCTGGTGGAGTGGTTGCTGTTGTTGAGCTTGTCAACAAATGAACTGGTACTGTAAACCATAAGCAATATTGCTATTCTGTAAAAATATAGTCTGCTAAGGTTAAGGTCTTCTGGAAGAAAATTCCGTGTAGTTTGGTAAATAGGTACCAATCTATCGCCTCTTCAGGGCTAAAGATTGGCTGCAATGTGACGTGTGGTTTTTTTGTTCAATTGTTCAATTTATTTATGTTCCATAAATCCAGATACAAGTAGACACCATAGGATATGGAACAAGTCAAATACAATATAAATACAATGACATCTGTACAATAACAGCCGAATTGAAAAATTGATAAAATTACAAATTACATATAAGTTAAATGTACTTATGCATCACAATTTGAGCCTGTTAACAGGAACAATGTCGATTAGTACATCGTTAATAAATTGCATAGGTACAAGTTAATTATACTTGTGAATCACAATTTCAGTCTTTTGTCAAAAACAATGTCAATGAGTACATTGTTAAAGGTTATATTATATGTAAGTAAAAGTAAGTAAAAGTAAATAAAAGTAAAAGCAAGCAAGCAATCTCCATTCATACATTCATGGATCCATAGATCCCCATAAGGGAGACTTGTGAATACAGTAAAATAGAGTCAAAATGGCAAGCGGGACGACAACATAGATAAAAATATTTTTCCAATGAGTATAATTTAATTACTCATATACAATTATTTTATCTCGTTCATCATAATTTATTTATTTATTCATTCCTTCCTTCATTTACACTAATTGAGCCTTACTTGGCTGGTAAACTAAAATAAACAGTGACAACAAAATAGATTACATGGCTTGCCTGGGTACAATTTAACAAACACACACAAACACATATTCTCAAGACAACCGCTATGCAGTGTGTGACTTCAAGGATGCGTCAAACTATCAATGAAGAACGCTGCAATAATCAAGTATGAAATATACTGCCATTCATTAAGCATGTAATGAACCAGGATCTTTAATCAATATTGTGGTTAAAATATTTCTCCAGTGAATAAAATGAATGTAGGAGTAGAAATCTTTTTAAAGCAAATTTAAATTGTTTAATGACATGAGTTATGTTCTTTATATTAGGAGGGAGACTGTTAAAAACCTTGATACCAAAATTATATGTTCCTTTTTGGAATGCTGACAAATTGCATGTAGGATAGTAAAGGTTATTATTGTGTCTTGTATTAATGCTATAAATTTGAGAGTTAGTGTTAAATTGTTCTCTGTTTTCGGCCATAAGTAACAAGAGAGAAAATATATACTGTGATTGGAGGAGCAAATTTTTCAGTTTTTTAAACAATTCCCTACAAGAGTCACTTTTCCTAGAATTGGTGATGATTCTAATTGCCCTTTCTGGAACCTAAAAATAAGGATACTTTGGGAATACTTGCCCCAGAAGATTAAAGTCATTACTAGGGCCCGGATTTTTTTAAAATGCGTATGCGCATATGCAGATACATATTTTGAGGGTTTTTGGTTGTTATTGCATATTCTAAACATAAGAGCATATTTCTGCATATATGTTTGAAATTAAGGATAATTAAGGATGAGACAACCAATTTATGTGGCCAACGCATAGCAAATTTCGTAGTTGGTAAGCTACATCCAGATGAACCCAGCAACCCTCATCTTCTTGCTTACAAAGTACTAGAGAAAACCAACCATAGCACAATAGCAAGATTTGTAAATGATTCTCTGTGACTTCTATGGCCATCTGAAATTGAGAATAATTGTTATAAGGTGCTTTTATTACTCACAGATGGAGCTTCCTATATGTTGAAAGCAGCGAAGGCCTTACAAGTATTTTATCCAAATCTTATACATGTAACCTGTTTAGCACATGGATTACACCGTGTTACAGAAAAAATACGTGCACAGTTTCCAGCTATTAACGATTTAATTGCAAGTGGGAAAAAAACTGTTTCTGAAAGCACCAGCTCATGCCCAGTTCTACAAAGATTGCCTACCTCAGGTTCCTCTGCCAGCTGAACCTGTCCTAACTAGGAGGGGTAACATGGTTATCCGCAGTTTCATTTTGTCAGGAGAATTTCAATCTAATAAAAGAAGTGGTTACAAAACTTGATGATGAGTATGCATGTGTCCGTGAAGCAAAAGTGGTGTTTGGAAATGATACTTGTTCACTGAATTCTGCTCCAGGCAAAATTGGAGACAAGATTAAATGCAAGTTAGAAATTGTGTTGAATTCGAACCTAGGACTAAAAAAGATTCAGTCAATTAGTCAGTACTTGAGTGGAATTAGGGTATCTTTGCCAGATGCATGTTCTGAACCTTAGGCGCCAGCGTATAAATACTGTCCAATCAAGCCAGCTGATGTAGAAAGATCATTCTCAGCCTATAAACTCATTTTGACGGANGGATGATGAAAATTTCAAGGTTAATTCTGCCACAATTTCACTATAAATAAATGTGCAAAGTAGAAGTAAGGAGACTGACTAAAACATAGGTGTTAACCCATACTTTTCTCGGGTGAAAAATTTCCTAATAATGAAATTACTCATACTTACCACATTGATATTGCTCTGGACAACACTGGCCAGGTTGTGGTGGTAAAGCAGTGCAGTTCTTTCCTTCCCGTTCTAGTGGGGTACCACACTCTTGCACAGCACATACAATATCTCCTCGCATACAGTAACAATGTTCACATGGTTTTGAAGTTTCAATACGAGCACCATCTGCATATAACTCATCATTGAATCGACAATCCAATGGACCAGGTGTGGTTGTGGTTAGAAGAAGAGCAGGTGTGGGTCGCTGTGTTGTTGCAGGAAGTTCTGGAAGCTCTGTCACATCCACATAGTCTGAAAGTAAGAAGTTCATATTTATCATCACTCTCTATCATCTACTCAGTTTATCTAGTGTGACTGTAGCACTTAATATTTACACTCTATGAGCCAATTGGATATATTAGATGGGAGTTCTTGCATTAATATCACAAGAGCTGAAGGAACTGGCTCATTGCTGATCAATTAGTATAGTATTTCTGTCAACATATGACATCAAGTGTGATACACTAATGTTTAGAGGAAAGAATCACATTTCACATAACATATACATGGTGCTGCTTGAAGGTCATTTGAGACAAGTATTGTCAGTTTTCTCTTCAAATGTAATTACCCCCCATCAGCCCTGCGATTTCCAACAGGTAGTCAAGCAAGGCACCCATAGGGTTATGCAACACATGAACTCAAGTTGCTTAAAAAATCATCAAAATTCTATTTTGGTTTCATGGATTATCAGCACACAATTAAACCTTACATAGAATTAATATTGGGTTAATAATTAAGCAGCCCAAAAATGTGATTCTCCCACATTTAATCAGAGTAATAGCTTCTGCTTAAATTCTTCGGGATGGTTATTCTCCGGATAATGGAAATTGTTCAATGGCAGTTTCATAAAATAATTACATACCAAGAGAAAAATTTTTGCACAAAAACGGCATAAAGGGGACCTATAGAGAACAACTGAGGTGTTCTCTTATAGCTCTGAAGTGGCTTTTTGACATAAATAAGATCTGTGAAATGACTGGTCCAAACAAGATTTTTAAATATAAATGGAGACCTACAAGTAAACTGAATGATTGTGAAACACCATGGTAAACTGCATCACAAAATCCTTAAATAAATCCTTCCCACCAGTGCTTTCCACTTTTAACATAAAGCAGAGAGTGTTAAGGTTTTCTGTTTATTTTATATATATTTTTCTAACAAACAATTTGAATGGTTTCTCATCTTTATTTGTGTTCTATGTATGCAGTGTACTATATTCCTGCTTTATAATCCAGGCAGAAAAGGCTTAAATATTACTGGAGAAAATTAAATTTTAATAATCACATATAATAAATAACTATATTCTTTTTCTTCTGTCCTCGACAGATTATGGCCCCAGCCTTCCAACTTCATAGCAATCTTTAAATTTATGTTACTGCACCTCCATAACCTTTTATTTGAGATAAAGTAAAACTTCTTTTATGACAGAACAACTAAATTATTAAGATTGAGATATTCTTGATGGCATTGCTTAGTGTGATTGGTGATTATCAGAGCCCAGATTCTGATGACATGTCATCTTTTGTTCCTTGTATCCTATGTGATGCTCTTATCTCGGATATGAGCTGCTGGTTACAGAAATGTAAAATTTATAGGTAATTTGTCATTTTCTGACATTTTTAGGTTTAAGGTCATTTTTCTTCATTTTGAGGGAATTTTTTTTGGTAAATTTTTGGACTTTTAAGGGTATTTCTTGTCATTTTTGGCCATTTAAGGAAATTTTTCTTCATATGTTTTTTGAAATGTGAATAACACGGAAGCGAAGAGTTCTTTCTTTTCCCCTTTAGGTTATTTTTCTGGATTTTTTCGATTTTATAGGTGATTTTTTTTAATATTTTCAGGTCATCAAAATCCAGGCCCTGCATATTACATTTTGGGTCATATTTTTGGTAATTTTTCTGTATTTTTTGATCATTTTATAGGTCATTTGTTAATATTTTCAGGTCATCAAAATCCAGGCCCTGTTGATTATTGATGTTCCAGAGAAAGCTGCTATCTCTGTATTTTATTCTGGAGAGGGAGGCAACAGATAACCCCCAAACACTGGTTACCACCTTCTAAAGTACATGATGTCATAGCACTTTAGACCACAAGCTTACTGTGCAAACCTCAAAATTCGACTACATCACAGATTTAAATTTTGTTATTTTCACATCACATTTAACCCATCCATCAGAAGTTACTCACAGACAACATTCTCTGATGATCCTGACCAAAAGAGCAACAATAAACATAACTGTTACACTTACCACAGTCATATCTAACTGGACAACACACTCCTGGCTGGTAAACTGGTCTACAACCTTCTACTTGCAATGTGCATTCTTGCATGACGCATGCCGTCTTGTTGCGGATGCAGTAGCAGAGTTCACATGGCTTGCTGGGATTTCCTGGTACCTAAATGAAAATTCAATGATACATGTGACTTTCAGCTAAGAGACATCCATATTAATTTAATTCATATTTCGGGTCGCTTTTAGTCCTACCTGTGCACCATCAGTGTAGAAAGTACTGTCAATTGTGCAGCCATGGGTGTCAGGATGGCCAACAGCTGACGTGGATCCAGTAGGGGCTGGTGGAGTGGTTGCTGTTGTTGAGCTTGTCAACAAATGAACTGGTACTGTAAACCATAAGCAATATTGCTATTCTGTAAAAATATAGTCTGCTAAGGTTAAGGTCTTCTGGAAGAAAATTCCGTGTAGTTTGGTAAATAGGTACCAATCTATCGCCTCTTCAGGGCTAAAGATTGGCTGCAATGTGACGTGTGGTTTTTTTGTTCAATTGTTCAATTTATTTATGTTCCATAAATCCAGATACAAGTAGACACCATAGGATATGGAACAAGTCAAATACAATATAAATACAATGACATCTGTACAATAACAGCCGAATTGAAAAATTGATAAAATTACAAATTACATATAAGTTAAATGTACTTATGCATCACAATTTGAGCCTGTTAACAGGAACAATGTCGATTAGTACATCGTTAATAAATTGCATAGGTACAAGTTAATTATACTTGTGAATCACAATTTCAGTCTTTTGTCAAAAACAATGTCAATGAGTACATTGTTAAAGGTTATATTATATGTAAGTAAAAGTAAGTAAAAGTAAATAAAAGTAAAAGCAAGCAAGCAATCTCCATTCATACATTCATGGATCCATAGATCCCCATAAGGGAGACTTGTGAATACAGTAAAATAGAGTCAAAATGGCAAGCGGGACGACAACATAGATAAAAATATTTTTCCAATGAGTATAATTTAATTACTCATATACAATTATTTTATCTCGTTCATCATAATTTATTTATTTATTCATTCCTTCCTTCATTTACACTAATTGAGCCTTACTTGGCTGGTAAACTAAAATAAACAGTGACAACAAAATAGATTACATGGCTTGCCTGGGTACAATTTAACAAACACACACAAACACATATTCTCAAGACAACCGCTATGCAGTGTGTGACTTCAAGGATGCGTCAAACTATCAATGAAGAACGCTGCAATAATCAAGTATGAAATATACTGCCATTCATTAAGCATGTAATGAACCAGGATCTTTAATCAATATTGTGGTTAAAATATTTCTCCAGTGAATAAAATGAATGTAGGAGTAGAAATCTTTTTAAAGCAAATTTAAATTGTTTAATGACATGAGTTATGTTCTTTATATTAGGAGGGAGACTGTTAAAAACCTTGATACCAAAATTATATGTTCCTTTTTGGAATGCTGACAAATTGCATGTAGGATAGTAAAGGTTATTATTGTGTCTTGTATTAATGCTATAAATTTGAGAGTTAGTGTTAAATTGTTCTCTGTTTTCGGCCATAAGTAACAAGAGAGAAAATATATACTGTGATTGGAGGAGCAAATTTTTCAGTTTTTTAAACAATTCCCTACAAGAGTCACTTTTCCTAGAATTGGTGATGATTCTAATTGCCCTTTCTGGAACCTAAAAATAAGGATACTTTGGGAATACTTGCCCCAGAAGATTAAAGTCATTACTAGGGCCCGGATTTTTTTAAAATGCGTATGCGCATATGCAGATACATATTTTGAGGGTTTTTGGTTGTTATTGCATATTCTAAACATAAGAGCATATTTCTGCATATATGTTTGAAATTAAGGATAATTAAGGATGAGACAACCAATTTATGTGGCCAACGCATAGCAAATTTCGTAGTTGGTAAGCTACATCCAGATGAACCCAGCAACCCTCATCTTCTTGCTTGCAAAGTACTAGAGAAAACCAACCATAGCACAATAGCAAGATTTGTAAATGATTCTCTGTGACTTCTATGGCCATCTGAAATTGAGAATAATTGTTATAAGGTGCTTTTATTACTCACAGATGGAGCTTCCTATATGTTGAAAGCAGCGAAGGCCTTACAAGTATTTTATCCAAATCTTATACATGTAACCTGTTTAGCACATGGATTACACCGTGTTACAGAAAAAATACGTGCACAGTTTCCAGCTATTAACGATTTAATTGCAAGTGGGAAAAAAACTGTTTCTGAAAGCACCAGCTCATGCCCAGTTCTACAAAGATTGCCTACCTCAGGTTCCTCTGCCAGCTGAACCTGTCCTAACTAGGAGGGGTAACATGGTTATCCGCAGTTTCATTTTGTCAGGAGAATTTCAATCTAATAAAAGAAGTGGTTACAAAACTTGATGATGAGTATGCATGTGTCCGTGAAGCAAAAGTGGTGTTTGGAAATGATACTTGTTCACTGAATTCTGCTCCAGGCAAAATTGGAGACAAGATTAAATGCAAGTTAGAAATTGTGTTGAATTCGAACCTAGGACTAAAAAAGATTCAGTCAATTAGTCAGTACTTGAGTGGAATTAGGGTATCTTTGCCAGATGCATGTTCTGAACCTTAGGCGCCAGTGTATAAATACTGTCCAATCAAGCCAGCTGATGTAGAAAGATCATTCTCAGCCTATAAACTCATTTTGACGGACAACAGATGAAGTTTGTCTCCAGAAAACACTGAAAGACTTCTAGTTGCCTATTGTGATACTACTTTCTGCAGTGAATGATACATGTAAATAGGTGATATATGATATAACTCCGTCCTAAGTGCAAACTATATTTATAGGTCTTTCGTTTTGTTCTTCTTTATACACTACATGTTTCGGCCCCAAACGGCCATCATCAGGTGTATACATTTATGTATCTGTTACACTGCACTTATTTATAACATTTAAAATTTAAAAACATAGGTCTTCCTGGTTAGCCCTTATAAAATCTTCGGTTCTAATTTGAAATCCTTTAAAAATTTTTTCTCTAAATTTTAAATTTTAAAAATGTCAGGGTTACTCACCCTATGTCTATAGTGCTGCAGCGGCTTCTTCTTGTTTCTAGTATTGTATAGGTGTTATTCTGTGTAGTCTTCTTGTGTGCGTGCGCGCTGCTTATCTTTACTACGTGTAAATAGGTGAGTCTGAATGAAGTGACCTGTTTCTTAAGTGCATATTGTTTTATTTTTGGTGCATATTTTCCCACTTTTTGGCACATATTTTAAATGTTTTAGTGCATATTTTAAGTGTTTTAGCACATAAAGATCCAGGCCCTAGTCATTACAGAATGAAAGTATGACAAATGAATCATTCTTATTGTTTCCTGTGACATATAAGGCTTATTAGTCCTGACTGCATAACAGACAGGGCTCAATTTAGTGATGAGCCTGTCAATATGTCCTTTCCATGACAACATATTATCAATAATTAATCCAAGAAATCTGGTGTTGGTAGATTTGGCAAGCTGACTGTTGCCATGGACAATGTGCATATCCATTGCCTGGCTATTCTTAGTTGTAAAATGTATAAAATAACTCTCATGAAGATTTAGTGTCAATAAATTGGCTTCAAACTAGTCATTTATGTCTTTGAAAGTTTGAGTAATATTGTTTTCATAATTTATGGGGCAGGAATTCGTAATAATAATGCAAGCATCATCTGCGAAAAGGACAGGTTTGGATTTGCTGTTTATAGTATTTGGCAAGTCATTTATATATAAAAGAAACAGTAAAGGTCCCAAAATAGATACCTGGGGAACACCATTATTAATTGTGCCCAATTCAGAGTGAGTAGCCAATTACTGATTAAACCTCTCTGGTATCTGAACTTGAGGTAGGATTTTACCTTCCAACTATAACATAAAATTCCAGTTTAGATAGTAAAATATCAAAATTGACACAATCAAACGCTTTTTTCAAGTCACAGAAAATGCCACCAGCTAGTATCTCATTACTAAGCACAGTTAATATTTCATTAAGAAGTTTGTACATGGCTTTTCCTGTAGATGAATTGCTCCTAAAGCCATATTGTTCATTTACTCATATGTTGTTGGTTGTTATATGTTGGTTCAGTCTATTACATATATAACCTTCTCCACGACTTTTGGAAAGGATGATAGTAATGATATAGGTATGTAGTCATATTGGTTCTGTCCCCGTTTTTAAATAGTGGTATTTTTAGAATATTTCAGCTGAGAGGGGAAGACACCAGTTGAGAGAACTCTATTGCAGATATGAGTTAGAGGATAGCTTATAAATGGGGTTCTAATTTTTAGAATTTTAAACGAGATTTCATCATATCCATTAGAATCTTTTTTATTTTAAGAACCTGGTAATGTTTTCACTCTCTTTGGTACACGTATAGCTACATTTAATTTTTTGGAAGGGAGTCATGAAAGCCCGAGACAGATAGTTCAGATATTTGTAAGCATCATCATATATACTGTGGCCAAGATTAGTATTGTTAGTATTAATTTTATCAACTATGGTTAGGAAATAATTATTTAATGACTCTGTAATTGTATGACAATGATCCATGAATTTCCCATCTATATTTAAAGCTTGTATACCAGCATTGTTAAACTTTCTGCCTGTAACTGTTTTTATGATGTTCCAGGTGATGTGTGGTTTGACAGAATGTGCTATAATTTTGGAGTTATCTGCTGCTTCCACCTTCAAAGTAAGGATTATCTTCTCTTCTACTCTGAAGATGGAAGCAGTAAGCTCCCCTGATATGTTGCTACTAATCGATTAAAACTAGATAGCATTACATTGCAGAAGACCATAACCAGTGTCACACACCAGAGGACCATAAAACTGATACACATTGCCCTGGATCCTCAGATGTCATGTTAGTCATGCTTGTTTCTGCAAAACATGGAGGCAGAATGGCAGTAGCATTTTCATACTTATTTCATTTGCTGTACCAGAAGAATGAAAAGTTCAGCAGAGGTTAAGTTAACAAAATTGGCGATCAAATAGTACTTGTAACAAGGCTTCATCATCATCATCATTCTTTATGATCAATTGTACAATATATATTTATACAAACTAATAAAAATACTAATTTGACCTCCAAGTACTGGCTCAATTTTGGCTTCATATGTATATGTTATGACAAATCAAGGTAGTGTGGTCTTGTTTTATTAAAACATAAACAGATAATCTCATTAGTAACAGATGATTTTGAAGATGAAGCTACAATGCCCCCGTTATTAGTTATTATGTTGAGAAAGATATGTATGTACTGTTTCCTATGTGCCTTCTTTTTCAGTCAAATTATCCTAGCAGATTGCAGATATAAGCACAAAGTTTTGGGAATCACTGATTACAGAGAAAGATATAGAAACATTCACTTGACTCACAGATAAACAAAAAAGGACCATGTTACGGGATGTGGCGCTGTGTGGTTTGGTACAAGTTTACTGACATTTCAGAGGGTTGTATTACTTCCATCTGCAGGATTAAAGATAAGCCAAGTAAGTAACCAGCAAGAAGCAACCAGAGCTCACTTGTGCTGCCATAATCTCGCTCTGCTTGTGTCTTGTTGGTTTCTTCCTTGGCTTACTCTTCAACCCTGAAGATGGAGGTAATATATTCTTCACAAACGTCCATAAACTTCTTCAAAATTACACAGCGTCACACCCCAGAAATTAGTACTCCATGGAGTCACAGCTATCAGAATCTGAAATCTTACAAAACTTAATCATTTGATATAATTTCACAAAAAATAGATAATTTTAGTAAGAAATTAAATGAAGGTATTGTCTTCTGTTATGTGACACCTTGTATTCTAGTAGAAGTTCACTTAATGTTTTCAAAGAACATACAACCTCCAGCTTCAGGGCCAGTCAGACAGGCAGGAAACTGGGAAGCATTCATTCAATCTCCAACCCTGAAAATGGAGGCTGTACATTTCTCCAGACGACATGGCACCGCGTCCCAGAAAATAGTACTCTCTATGTACACCACTGTGAGAACCACAAATCCAAGAAAGATATAAAATGTTTTCTGGTTACCTTCAGGGCACGTGATAACAGGGCAACACTGATCAGGCTTCTTCTGAACAGTGCAGTCTTGTCCAATGCCCTTCGTGAATGGGCAGACTCTCAAGTAACACATTAACATCCTATTGTGACAGGTGCAGTTGAGGCAAGGCTCATTGGTGATGATGCGATCACCTTCCTCATAGTGTTGGAAGTTGTAATAGCAGCCTGTAACATCTGCAGAGAAAGGTAAATAATAAGTATCATCCTCTTTAATCATTTAAATTACTCCTATATATATATAAAAGTTTTATAAGCAGGAAATTTGTGACTATATTTACACAATTCCAGGTTTTATGCCTGGAGAACCAGCCAAATTGCCTGTTCTTAACGGGATAGTTGGGACATGGATCTGCTTTCGATATGCTGCAAAGAGAGATAGATCTCTTATCCCTATCAGGAATCTAACTTAGTTCCTTGGCTGTCTAGCCTCCAGCCATTCACTACGCCAACTCAGCTATACAGGCTCAGGATGGTCGTAGTAGTGGTGATAATAGTCGAAAACTTGATCGTTTATAATTAAATTTCAGGAACAGATTTTTTTATTCTGTGTTCTTAGAATTTTAAAACTCCTAGCTCTGCATAGTGCAAGACGGTGCTCAACACGTGGGATATGTGGCAGGTAAGACCCCTGAGCCACTCTCTGCATCAAAATAAATATCTGAATTGCAGAGATGTTTGACAACAATGAATATGTGGATACAATGTGACATTATCTCAAGGTCAAGCTGATGTAATTCTGATCCTATGGAGGAGGTGTACTTCCGTCCTGTAACATGTGTGGGGGCCTCAGTATGCAAGTGCCACTGAAAACATGACTGCAATCAAATATGAGAAGAATAACATTATTTTGGTGGATATTTTGCTGAAAGATATTGAGACACATTATGAAAAATATAGACCAGTGCTCTAAGAAACCAGATGCTTCTGGTCTTTTCTATCTCGGTAACTGGTCCTAAATTAATCATTATCATTCTTACAATAAAATTATTATGATTTAGGCATTATGTGTCATCCTGTTTTTGTTTAAAACACAACGTTTCGGAGACTGGATTCTGTCTCTGTCTTCAAGTGGAACTGGGGGCCCAGTGATAGGGACTAGATTTATCGATTGAGCCCATCTGAGTATGTTACACCTTAAGACGGAGATACAATGTAGTCTCCGAAACGCTGTGCGTCTGAAATAAAAAGAAACAGGGCGATGTTCAGAAGCACAATAACTGTGCTAATGTGCCATCGTCACAAACCTTTAAATCTTAGTTATCATTCTTATTTTGACCCCAATTTTCGTTTAAATCACCACTGCAAACAATACCAAAAAAATGGATAATAAACCTTTTAGATGGGCTAAAATTACATAAACTGAATTCTTGATGGTGGTTTCAGTGTTAAAATTATATCGTGTCAAATTACAAGGTCATCGGCCAATAACGAATTGGAAAGGGTGTGGAAAGAAGCGACCTTAGTACTATCTTGGAAGCTGTCTGCAGTAAAAGGTAAAGGTAAAGCTATCCCTGTAAAAAGCTGCAGGGGCCCATAGGGTTGTGAGACGTCGAGGTTGTCAGCCTCACGCGCCGATCGCCCTTTGTCCCTCAGGAAGATTCCTGGTACTCGTTTCTGATAGAGGCTGAGTCGGCCCCAGGGCCACAGTGTGGCTGGAAGGTTTAGGTCAATTGAAAAATCCAATTACTATGGAAAACTGAAAGGACTTCATTCATGGTAATCGGCATCTGCGCCGAGATTTCAACCCGAAATATTCTTGCTACAAATGAAACCCGATCATAATGATCTGTTGTTTGCTGGTCACCTCACCTGAGGAAGGAAACAGGTCCATCGCGCTCTTCAGAACAGCGGACGGTAGTCAACTGAGTAACCCCGATTTGTAGCTTCATTTTCGTTTGTCTGACCCTTATTCACGTTTCCACAGAACTCACCACTGTGCCCAAGTTTCTGTTATTCTTTGCGCATTCCATAGACATACATAGGTGTATTTTCATACGGTAAAACTAAAAGTGTTCTTTCCATATCCTCATCTTCAATCTGTATCCTTATTGTCGCAAATCACAGTAGCTGCGCGGTCTGAGGCGTAAACCGTTTTCGACCGCACGAACACTGGGGTCGTGGGTTCGAATCCCACTCAAAGCACTGATTTCTGTGTGCAGGTAGCGGCTTTGCTACGGGCTGATCCTCCGTCCAAGGTGTCCTACCGACTGTGTATATGAGAAAGCGGTCAAGGTCCAAAGGACTGTAGAGCCAAAGAGAGTGGGGCTGCTAGTATCTTACTATATAGCGATGAATTGAGGGATGCCTAATTAATGACGGTAAAGGATGCGGAAGGAAGCAGTCGTGAACTATTCGCCTGGAGGGACAAGTTTCTCTGTTTAAAGATGTTTACTTAACGCTCTCAGAATAGAAGCTACTTAGCGTCGGATGATAACATGATTAATGGCCATGGACCCGTTACTGGAATGAGAATTGGCAGGGGAAACGGAATTGCCAGGAGACAACTCGTCCCAGTGTCATTTTGTTCAGGATCCATTTGCAGAATACAACGTCTGAAATGCTGTTCTCTGGGCCAGCAGATCCGAGGTTGCGAGAGGCCTCATATACTTTGTCAAACTCAGTTCCGAAAGGATCAAAGAACATCTTGAAAACTTTGTTCTGTGTCACTGTCTCTGTGCACTAAACAGACAAATTTCGTTTAAAATGTGTCTTCCCGCTACCGTACTCAGTCCCGCCTTTCGAATAACGAGATCAGGGTTTTAAAATCGGGGGGGGGGGGGTCAT